CAAAACGATTGATGAATACGTATATTTTAATTTTTTCTTTTGTTTAAGACATTTCAATTATTCATTGTTTTTAACTACATAAATGTGTTGAAAACAACATATRAATTTAGAATAAAATACACTCAAGTCAGTTACAGTTTCTATATTTTCATACAATATTTCAATTTTCATTCTAAAACTGTAAAATTTGAACAATATGTACTAAAAATATAAATGCAACATAGTATTTTTTCGCGTGTCACGAGATAATAATTATAATTAAAATAAAAAATAATATCATGTCTACAAGCAATGAGAATAATATTAATTTTCAAACAAAACAAACGTATATACCTACGTATATTACAATAAAATAATATTTAATATAAAAACTATATATAATGATATCAGCTTAAATATATAGATACATATTATAATATTATATAACGATGTGTAAAATTCAGTCTCTTTAAGAAAGTCGACCCAACGCTGAACTCGTACATTCAAAGTTTGGAATAAATACTAAAGGCAGTACAAGGGCCTTTTGAATCCTAATAACAATTATTTGTTTTTTCATATTTGTATAAGTATACAAACGTATACAAAAACAAGCTTCCGGCACAGCGGCGTTGCAGTCGGTCGATAACTCGGTAGGTCCAGTAGTTGTATTCGGCACTTGACGTGTAGGTAAGGTATTACACCGTGTCCAAAACATTCAACAAACAATRTATAATAAATCGATGCGGTCCCCCGCACAGCATCACATTTTCAAAATACCTGTGTGGCCACTATCTTCTTCTGTTAACACAATCCAATACTGGTGGATTAAAATTTGTTGGTGGACATTAAAAAAAAATATATATGTTTTTCTTTGTTCAAAGCGGTATTTCTAGATATTTTTCTAACCAGCATACTAGCATACCGATATCCATAATGCGAGCGAACCGTTCAGCACCGAACAACTTGTTTACACAGCTACATGTAATATATAATAATACACAATATGATAAGTGTATAGTATTATTATCGTTTACAGTTTAATAAATAATGTAAATTTTTTTTTCAAAAGTCGATTTCTAAAAAATAAATTTTAAAAGCGTGTGCAATAAACGGACATAAATTACATAGCTGCGATTTCAATRATATTATTCGCACAATATCAAAATAATAATAGTAATAAAAACAAAAAAAAATAGCATTCAATCCAAACGCGAGTGTCATGCGCTGAAAAACCAAACTAGTAAAAACCAATAGTATAGCTGTTTGCATTTTTTTTTTTTATGTTATAACCACAAAATAATATCCAATCTTATGTGTTAACATGATACATAATATACACCCATTGAATTCGTGCATCTTTTTGCTAAAGAATTACTATAGTATCTAGTCGCATTCCACTTATAATATTAAATTGACATCAGCAATTTTAAACATGAAATGTATTATGTGTATACAAATACATTTAAACATTCTATGTATTTATTTTTTGTTTTTTTTTTTTAAACACAACACTGTAATTTTATAACACCATACCATGCATTCGTGCTAGCATACGATAGTGGATACGCAAGTATCCGTAAAAAAAAAATAAGCAAATCCGTAAAATAAAAAAAATACCGTTCACAGAAAAAAAAGACTGACACCCAAGTATGCAAATACATTAATCGATTACATTAAATGAATACAATATTTCTGGTGGCATAAAAAGGGACATTATAACAATATTTACAATATGAAAATAGTTGCCATTGGTCAATAAAATTTGACGCGTTCAACTATCCTGATCAAACACCGGGAACATTTTGAAATTTATAATAATATCGCCATGCATCCACGAATATTTACCAGAATAACTTATACGTCGTTTCGATACGACTCGTGTATATTATAAACGCACCGTTTGTCRTGCTCAGTGCACACGGTCTACTGCACTAGACGGACACCAAAGATGCATATTTACATGAGAGTGCATTTTTAATTTGYTCGATTAAGATAATCGAAAAGGGAACGTGCATTCGAGTGTTTGACTACAGTGAATGTCAATTAAATCAATCTGATATGTTCCACATAGGAATGTGCGCACATACATGTCTGCATGGTATAGATTCGAATAGGTACAATTTATTTTTATTTACATCTCTCGCAGGTAATCGAACACTCGGTGCGCGTAAATAAGTATGAAAAGAAACACAATGGCAACAATAATTATTATTATAATATCTAACGCCACTGTTGCCCAATTTTCGTATTGCTTTAAACAAATTTCTCACCTGCGTCCATAATCAGATCGCCGACATCCGTATTTTGATTGCCCTTGTGATCCCGTCGCACTTCCATCCACGTGGGTCTGAGTATACTGGGTGCAGCGGTCACTTCTTGTCGATGTCCCTTGTTTTCCGCCCTACAACCAAACCACCAATAGCCAGCGTTGCGAGGGAAAGGCGGGTCTGCAATATCGACCTGGGAAATCGAAATGAACGATTCATGTAGCCACGTAGATAGTTTATTTTATCAGCGTTTAAAATATTTAAATTAATAATAATAATATATTGAACTGACTGCAAACGTYCTGTCGTTGAATCTGTAATAGTTTTCATCTTTGAAAAAATATGTGTAGCCATTGGTGTAGTGCAAAACCGCATCTATGTTATCCGGTATACCATCCCAGTTGCTGATAGGCTTCGGGTATGTGCTCTTTACAGGGGGCTTTTGCATCGGGTCGAATTTCCAGAATTTTGAGCCTAAAATTAATTATATTTATCATATTAAAAATAAATAACAAATACTGTGATTTTTTTCTTTTTACAAGTATTTTAAATTTTATGTAAGCCTTTAATATTTAAGTTATGTTTTTTTTTTCATTATTTGATTTATGATCGACTTCAAATGTTCAGTATAAAGAAAAATAAGTGCAAATTATTACACTTCCAATTAATCACTGTCAGAAGTTAATATCGATTGGTTTTTAAGCTTGGAGTAGTGCGTGAGAATATAACATAATTCAAAAAATATAGATGCATTAAAATATAGTTATCAGTTATCTAAAAAGTAATAAACTATAAGATTAAAACATTAATGCAAGTTGATAAATAAAATAGATAAAAATTCACGAAAGTAATTGAATCCTCATTCGAAAATTGTAAAATTTAASCAGTATAATATAATATTGTTATAATATTGTAAGTACCTTACTTAAATAATTAATTCTATAATATCAACAATACATTTATTGACCTTTTAATTTAAATACAAAATTGAATAAAAAAAAAAAAAACAAGAAGACTCGCTCAGTTGTATAGCAAGTTAAGAGTTCCACGTCATTGGGTGCGTCACTGTAATGGATGTCTTAAATTTTAATAAGATATTGTGGATTATACGAAAAACGATTTTGAGCGAAGGAAACTATCAAATCAGCATAAAGAATAGTTTATGTTTTATTATATTCATATTATTCATTTCGTTTTCTTAATTTTGTGGATTCGACAAGTATAATAAAAATAGTACGTATAGCTTTAGTCAATACCAACGAATGRTTTGAATTGATTCAAGGAACAAAAATAGCTTAAATAGCTAAAAATGAATCCCAATATTTAAACAATTTTATTTTGTATAAAAACGAAAAAATTAGGAAAACATTTAAGTTTCTATAATTAATATTTTATAAATTACAACAGAATGATTAAAACCATTGTTAGATGAATACTAACTTCTCACTTCGCTCGGAATATAAAATTACGAAAGTTAAAACTAATTTTGAAACAAAAAAGTAAATTAACATAGAATTTTAACTATTTACTTTAGRATGACCGTTTCATGTAACTTGACATTTTATGATTAATTTATATTAACTACTCAAATAAAAACTTGCCTAATGAGTATCAAAGGTAAACAGTTTAAAAACAATAATAATGTTGTTGATAGCAATAATTTATGTACAAATACTTATATAAATATACCAAAATTTTGTTATAGTTTTACAAAACTTAAGTTAAATTATCAATCGTACAAAAACAAGTAATTGCATAAATTTTAGTAGGTTTATTT